GACGTCAAGGATGATGGAATTGACGACCATAACGACGAATAAACGGAACAATGGGATTGGTCAAGTCAAAATACCTTTGGAAAGGACTTCATGTATGTAGAATTGTTGGCCAGCCCTGGCGCGTGAGGGGGGTGTGTTGGTGCCTGACCCATACGGCATTCAGGCAGCTGCCAGGTCTGACCAATCAGCTGTCAGTTACCACGTGACCGCCAAACCGGCCACGCAGATTTAGAGCCGACCTCAACGCCGGCTCCTAGTCAGTTCTTCTTTTTCTTCCCCAGAGGGAGCAATAATATATTGATCTTCTATGCCTAGATAGACTTCATCTATTTCCCCACTGAGCTCTCGGCAGCCTTACGCCGAGACAAGTCTATATATAACTATCTCCCTCTCCGTGGTTTAATTCGCCTTCTAATATCCTTATTTTCCCCCAGTTTTGCTGCTGAGTCGAGTATTTACCTTCTTAAGATACACGAATCCATCTATGCGATACTAGCTTCCCTTAACTTGTCTACCAGACCACATATGTTATATCCTAAATATAGAATTTTACATATATTTCTGAGGCCCCAAGTCTATAGTGTGACTTTACTATATGTTTTTATATACCATAATCATGCTATACTATCTAGATACCTATATAAATAGAATTATACCTAGGCATCTATTAATTATAGTTTTACTTGTAAAGTGGCTCCTAAATCAAGTTCTAATTTGACTATTATCGCATTGTCACAGGCTAGAGCCCACAGGAAATAGGGCTCGGACTTATGCCCTTGCAAACATTTGGACCTTCAGAAATCCTTGCTAACCCACAACCAGAACATTGTTTCCCTGGACCTGATTCTAAACACTAGATCTAAAATTGAGACCTTTCAGAAATCCTTACCAACCCTTAACTAGAACATTGTTTCCCCAGACCTGATTCTAAACACCAGACCCAAAATAAAACCCCTTCGCCTGAAGGTCGCCCCTTTTTCCCTTTTTCCCCTTTTCTTCCCCAATCGCGACGTCTTGCGCGCAACCCTCGTTAGGAGGCTTGCATACGGAAGCCGTTGCGGCCCGTTACACGCATTAGTAGCTAAGCCCACTTAGTACTGGATTCATAATGCCATAGGCAGCAATCAGACTGGTGCTAAAGGCGCTTCCACATCAAGGTGTATTCAATGAAAAGAATGGGGTAGAGTAGAGTGATCGGGAAAAGGGTATTGCAAGGTCCCAAGGCCCACTAGGAAAGAAGAGTGACATTTAACGTCCACGAATCAGCTCCATCATCCGGGTAATAACATCATCTGGATCGTCATTGTCAGTTTCAAGAACTGGTTCGTCCTCCTGTAGCTTGTACAGGCTGCCTTCTCGAATCATCCAGTGCCCCATCTCGATATCTTCATTGTTGGCGACTTTGATGTCAAACATATCTGAGTTCAATTCAGCCACCATGCCAGCTAGTGCCTTATTCGAGCTAGACACGTCCTGCCGGATATTGAAGCTTATCGGTAAAATATTCATAGACAAGAACAATAGATTCCTGTCCGAACCGAAGCACCCGGCCGATGGCTTGCTGGCGGATCGACTCAGACATCGCCGGGTCAATAAGGCGTATGTTCCGACACTTCGAGTGTAGATTCAACCCATAGGCGTTTACTGAGTATGATGCAATGAGAACCATGCACTCATTGTCTTTGGTTGTGAAATCGTCAATCAGTTGATCGCGCTCATGGCTTTTTTTTGGCCAGAATAAAAGATCCTTGCATCAATACCACATGCCCTGAGGACTGCCGCAATAAACAGCTCCTGCGCAGGGAACATGGTCCACACTAAGGCCTTCTCTTTTAGAATGCAGACTTGATATAAGATGATCGGTAAAAAGGCCCTCAATTTGGGCGATCCAAAGGCAGCACACAATGCCGCTATGCCCAATATGGTCTGAGGGGACTGAGGTAAGGCAAGAGCCTTGCTTCAGCTGGTCACATAAGGGAAATGCTAAACCCAAAAAGGCTATCTTCCAACAGATGGAACCTGTTAAGAGGTAAGGCTTGTTATTGGCTATCTGGCCTACATGGGCCGACAAGGCCTCCTACCATACGGGCCGGAACGAACGGTTGTATGACAGTGACTCGACAGTTTCAAATTAGATAGGGTAAATACACAGGAAAAATGCTCAGTTACGTTGTATTACTGTATTTTATTAGAAATATATCAAGAAATGTGACGTTTTATACTAGTGATACGGTATTAATACCTATATGGTAGCTAGAGAGATACGGTGTCAAGATGTTGAAACGTCTATCAAGATATGGTGTCAAAATGGCTACGGTATCAAGGTCACGTGATTTATAAATATCGAGCGCTAGGTTATAACCACACATTCCCCCCCTTTTTAGAGTAAAATAGAGTAGATAGCGTAGTGGTAGTAATCTAAGACTTTTCCTAGTAAGATACCTAAAAAAAAATCATGTAGGTTCTCTTATAAAAAGTAGGGATTCCAAGTAGTTCGAGTTCGACCCTTAGGTCTGGAAAATCTTTTTTTCCTTCTCCGTGGCAGATCTGCAACCGTTCTGTCACTGTATCTTTTTTGACACTGTTTCTACATCCTGACACGTATCTAGTCTAACACCGTATCAAATCCAGTAACTGTTAAAACCGTGTAGCAATACCTAAACGGTAACACTAAAATTACAGTGTTACCACCATCTTACAACAGTAAATTGGCACCAGCGCCGGCCCGTATGGTATCTAACGGTCTGCTGATCACGTGAAGGAGATGCGCTAAACTGAAATGGGTTAGCCTCAAACAGTTACCTCTTTAACATTCTCCCGGCCAACACGTCAACCTGACCATGACAACGCCTGATAGTACCTTCCGTGAGTCAGATAGAGCACCTTCCATCAGTCAAGTAGGAAGGAGGCCTTAAAGGATCAAAAGTAACTATTAATTCTGGATATCTTCTTGTGCTTCTACAACAGCAGTTCTTTTTTTTCTGTAAGAGAAACACAAATTTTCACCCCACTGTAATACCACACGCGCTGCAACATGGATGCGACTGTCTACGCAACTCCCACACTACCTTCGCAGCGTAGCCTATGAGTCAAGCAACCTGTGCCCGAGAAAGCCACAAGCCCATCAAAGACTGTTGTGATCACACCTCAGAAACGTGTCGTATCACATTCAGGAGTAACATCAGGCTCCCCTCAAAAGAAGCGTGGGATTTAATCTTGGAATTTGCAGATGGTCGACTCATTTGAACTTCCAGGTGATCTCAAGAAGACTTCTGAGTTTTTGAGAAACAAACTGAATGTCCAACATATTATCTTTGACTGGACACTAGTGGAAAAAGGAAGCACTATGGTGAGGAAACCTTCGCGTGAAGAGATGGGAATTCTTTGGAATCTCTTCCCAGATACAAAGGCTGTCCATCTTAGGACTCCCTTCTTGACAATCCGCGTCGATACACTTCCACCTAGGCCATAGCCAGTGACTGTTGCTGGAATGCCTCTTTACATCACTACTGATGATACGGACACTGGATTCGATCATGGGTTCGCTGGTGCTGCGGGTGACCACATGCCAGGTCTCGAGACATCAGGGACAAATATGTGGCATACTGTCCATGCTGCTCGTGATTACTTGATCTCGGAATTGTCGCTCGATATTAGGTCTGTTGTTTACTTGGGTTTTGGGCCGTTCTTCGTTATCACTCTAGATTCGTCTGCAGAGAGGAATCATCTCCCCATGAGACTTGGCAAGGCCTGGTGCGAGTACAGATTACACACTGAGTCAGAGCCAAACCAAGGAGAATGTGCTCACCAGCTTGTCGACCTGAAACCTGGAGATGTCGATGATTCCGAATACACTCCCCACCTTCGTCCAGGAATCATGCTATGCTGTGGTGGAGCACCTGATGATAGACGGACAACATCTGGTGTTGCAATACGCAAAAAGGAGGATCATTCGCAAAGGTTTGTCACTGTCGCATCTCATGGCTTCCCTATCGGCCAAGAAACGGTCTACCACCCAGTGGCAGATAGGGCAATCGGAGAGGTTTCATACCGTCTGGGAGACACTGATGTGGCGATGGCGTCAATCAAACCCGGCCTCACTTATGTGAACGAGACTTTTGAGAGCCCTGACAGAGACGCCCAGCGAATTACAATGTTAAGCGGCAGTGTGACGGCGACCGAATTTTCATCAACTCCCCATTTAGTGGAACAATGTGCGGTGTATTCCTTGGTGTTGAGACTTCGCGTTTTGAAGGCTCAAGCGATCCTCTAATTCTCCCAAGTGAACCATTGCCATGGATCAATTACATGTGGGGAGGCTTTGGAAACGGATCTGTTCTTACAATGGCTGGTTGCTGTGGTTCACCTATTTTGAACGAGCACGGTGAGCTCCTGGGATTTTTCCGTTTCATGGATTCAACTGGATTGGGTAAAGGTTGTGATGCTGAAATTTTAGAAATCTCGGCTATGAACTGACAGATATCTAATCATGGTCTGGGACTCCTGTAGTCAGTATCCGGGAAGTCTCTAATCCAGAAGTCCGTGAGCAAGCAGACTACTGGAAATGGTTAATTGGTGATTGCTAGGGGAAAACAAAACTCGAATATCCTTATATTGACAGCCTCCTGAGTGTTCTAAATGATACAGATGTATAGAATAGCGTCAGAAATAGGCTTAGCCAATTGCTAAATCATAATATCAATTTGCTCTAGTGCTTGTGCTACCAAAGTAAATCTTCACATTGAACTCACTTGTCACTCAGTGAATCTCAGTAGCCCACTGGTGAACAAGGTGTGGCAGCACAATAATGAGTATTGGCTTTCCTATAATGTCCTGGCGACTCTCCAACTCCCTCAGCCTCTATAAGGTTGGTTAGTATCTTATGGCATGTTAAAAGTATTATAGAGGACCCTGGGGAAGCCTTCCACAGGATACATTATACATCAGAAGTTTAGGATATCAAATCTATAGGCATTCTAGTACTTAGACTATAGGTTACTACCTGCTGAATTTATATAGTATAAGCAAACTAATACTTTTAGATCATCCTTAGAGTTGAACTCTTTAATGTGAAGCCGCTGTGTAAGCCTAGGCTATATAAGGGGGTGCTGGGCAGTTGGTAGCCGTAGCGCTACCATCCTGTGGTCTTTTTGGCACAGTGGGCGAAGTCCTAAGCCCAGCGGCTTCCCTCCCTGACAAAGGGTTAGCTTTCCAATACTATCTAATTGACTCTCTAACTCTCTTAGCCTCCATAGAGTTAGCATTATAAAAGAAGGACATTAGGGAGGACCCTGGGGAAGCCTTCCACAGGTCAGTAAGGGTAAACTTACAGTCAATAGAAACATAATAGTGGTCTAGGTTTTCCTTAGACTAACTCTATCTACTAGGAGACACCTAGACAGCAATAGGTTATATAAGAACTAAGAAAAGGCATAGACTGTAACTGGTTGCCAGAAATATAGTCAGCAATTTGGTTGCATACTATCTATCTTTGGGTGCTCTAGGTTCTTAATGCCAAGATATTTGCATGCCTCCTCTTTGTTGTCCCACTGGTATAGTTCATTATCAAACCAGGCTTCCTGCTGGTTGACCGCATTTATAAGGTCTTTGGTCAGAGTGATTATTGTGGCAGCAAGGCCCTGAAGATGGAACAAGGGAAGCAAGACCTGCTTGGACATCCTCCTCATCAATCTCTCCATGTTCAATCTCTATTGCCTCTCCAAATAGTAAGTCTATCCCTATATCTAAGAGCTCCACAATTAGTAATCTATCTCTCCTACCTATAATGAAGAGGACCTTAGGGAAAGCTTCTAAACCCAACTGGCAGACTAGCATAAATCTAGTCTTAGTTATTAGTTACTTAATACTTACCATCCTCCATCAAACTCATATTATATTTTTTATGTTTCCTTGGCTTCTTATAAAGCTCCTACTATAGACTAGATAAGAATACATTTAGGTTGAAATAAAGGTATCAGATTTAATAAAAATCTAAGGTCAAAAGGCCCTAAGGGGAGAAGGAGGAGGGGAGGGGGGGGGGGGGGGGGGGGAGTAGGCGTATTATAGGTAAGAAAGAAGAAAGATTCAGTAACAGAAGAAGAGTTATTGTAATAGAAACATATAGACATATTAAGGGCCTTACCCAAAAGGGAAGTGCTAAAAGGTTCCCCCAGGATGCTGATATACAGCGGCATATTCCAGTGAAATCAGAGGGAGCCACAGAGAGAACACAGAAGTGTAACATGGACAGCAAAAACATAAAGTGCTTGGATGACTCAGGTGGTAGGCAACAGCATCAGGCACAGGTCAGGAAGAGTTGCTCATAGATTTATTGTCATCAAGGCTAAGGTTCTTGAGAACAGCGGTGATAGAAAATGTGAGACTTTCCATTTCCCAGGTCAGGCGAGCCATGAAGATAGTCCAATTACCTCAATGCGAGCTCAGCATAGAATCAGAAAAAAGTGAGCCTGCCAACTTCTGCTTACATAAAAAGTCGGACAAACTGAGCGTTTCTCTGACTGGTAGACATTCTTGTCGGGTCGCATAAAGAACGTTGAAAGAAATCGGCTGACAGAATTGAATACACCTGAAGCTCTGCAGGCAGACATCGGGCTGTACGTAGTAGATATCCCTCTGAAATTTCCAATTCATTTGAACAGAGCTTTACAGCAAATAACCCTTCCTTCCGGCTGATTTTCTGCTCATCAACAGTTGCTTTTTAAAGCAAGGCCATCTTATCAGCTGTGATGGATTCTGATTACCCAACTAGGCAGGTACGGGTGAGACTAGGTTATTCCGAACTCCGAACTCCGAGCTGCCATGTTAACAATTTTCTTCCGCTTTTGCTCGACACAACCCGGACTTGTCTCGTTTCGCGCCAATTGGGAGATAAACAATCTACCGAGGCCCTGTCTAGGTAGATAGTGTGGGGTTGCGTCACATTGCATATCCGAAGACCGGTGTTGGTTGATTCAATGGGCGATCCCTCCGCCTAGGCGTCTTCGGAATAAGTTATCATGTATCAGCCACAATCACCCCAGACGCGCCGCAACGGCAAATCGGCCGCTTGCGAGCCGTGTCGGACTTCGAAGCTCAGATGCGATCACGCGAGGCCTGTATGCGGGAGATGCACGGCAAGAGACATCGCCCGGCAATGCTTCTATCACCCTTCTCCTATGACGAGAAGCGCCAATGGCACCCGAGGAAGATTGTCGAGCGATTTCCGAGTGCACAAGCCAAGCAGCCCAAGGCCCAAGTATGTAAATCGTGTGAAAGCATTGAACTTGTGGACATCGGAGTAACAGATCTCTAGCGATTCTAGCCGAGCCTCGTCACTGGAGATTGCATCCTTCAAACCTTCAGGCACTCCTGCCCTGGAGCTCCCGTCTACCTCGCCTGGTTATCTGGGATCCACGAGCTACTCTGCAGTGCTTGCAGAGCATCAGAAAGACATCCCGGCGGACATCGAGGGCGGGACCGAGTCAGGCAGCGTCATGCAGACTGTCGATCCGGAGCGCGCCCAGTCCGGGCTGAGAGTGTTATCATTGTTGTACAACCTCTCGTTAATTGACGCCCTTATCCGGAAATACTACCAGAGCAAATGGTTCATGATCTTGCCGTACGTGGTAGTTGACTCGATGCTCCTCTCCACTCGACGCATATTCGATAGCTTTGAGCCCACGGAAACGGAATCTCGCCTACGGGATCTCTCCATCCAGATATTCCGCAACTCATCGAGGCCGCTAAAGCCACACAGGAACATGACCATTGACGATTATACGTCGTCTTTTACCGGAGAGAATATTCGCTGGGAGACTATCGGGCTTATGTTTGCTCTCTCCGGGATGAGCCTACTGGCCACCCATGAAACGGACCCTGCCATAGCCGAACTTCAAGGGAGCCCGGAGGCTAAGGAGAGGCTTCTGAATCAGATCTCGGAGGCAACCAGCACTTGTATTGCTTTCTGTGACCATGCAGCCTCACCGAATGAAATACTTGCTTTTGCTCAGCACACAGATGTGATGCTGAGAACTCAACAATATGGTGATTCCAGTACGTTGGTGCATCTATCATATCACATATCATGACATCCAAGGCTTATAGCTTATTCTTCCAGGCTACCAGGCGTGGCGTCGGCTGGGAGACCTGTCCGCCACGGTGTATGCGGCAGGGCTTCATCAGGTCGATGGGCCAGCGGACGATGACTGCCCCTTTTTCCTGAAGCAATTGAGGAGGGGTTGTTTTGCAGCTGCATTCTATATCGACAAGTGTGTTGCCACGTTTGTCGGACGACCACCACTCATCAACTATCGTTACTGCACCTTGACTCCACCCCTTGATCTAAGTGACGATGTGCTCATATCTGGAGGTGAAGCCCTTGACAATGCTGTCGCCCAACTAGACGCCGCAGGATGGGACAGGCAGGGCAGGAGACACCGCACAAGCCTGATTCGCATTCGATTCCTTTTAGCAATCTATCGAGAAGAAATCCTCGAACTGGCGTTAGGAGTAGGGTATCAGCAAGACTTTCCAAGAAAGGCCAGGTAAGATGCACAGCACAATCTGCACTGGATAGATCAACTAAAAAATGTTCGCAGCAAAATTCTGGAAAGAGCGCAAGCGGCCTGGGAGACCTGTCCGGACCATCTCAGGTACGACCGCTGTTCCGATAGTAATCCCACCGGGTGGTATGACACTGGCTCTCCGATATTCCTTCTGTATCTCGACTATCTATACAGCGGGTTTTTGCTCCACAGGACCCTTATCAAATACACCGGACTCGGTCAAGTCCCGCTGTTTGACACTGCCAGGCAGCTCTTGTCGACCGTCCTCAGAATCTGCAATGATCGGGATAATGCGACCGATCGAAGCAGACACTATTCGTGGATTGTACGTCTCGGTCAGCTTGTTACGGTCCTTAACGATTTGCTAAAGTTCTCATCTAGGTCCTGTACTACGGGCTTCCCAGCGCCTGCGTCCTTGCTTTCGAGGTGCTCCGTCAAACGCAACAAGCGGGACCGCACCCCGTCGTCTTGCCACGCGCAGAGGTAATCCGTAACCTGAGCGTGTTTGTATCCTGCCTCTCTTGGGTCGCACGCCCGGGCCAGGGGAATTATGGCATGTGCAAGGAAGTGGAGAAGAAACTTTCCCACATCTTGGACCGGATTCTTGACCCTCCGATTGCCGCCAGCGAAGACATCAACTTCGTTAACGATATGGCGTCTGGACTGGATAACTTCCTGGACTGGAATAACTACAATAACTGGGAGTTCAACTCGGACGTTTTCGGTCTCTGACATTACCTAAAGGTTTGTACGGTACAAGCTGGCAAATCTTTAAGAGCTTTATATGAACGAGAAAACGAAAATCCATGACATGGGTATACCTCGGAGATTCGCCTCCAACGCCAATCCCAGCCATGCAGAAAAAGACGCTCCCACCGTCATTAAACGATTATACCATCCAAACAAAATCCTGAACTGGACGTCGCACTTCATGAAAATAGGCACGATGGCAGAGAGGACAGTTGAAATGGTTTCTGAGGTACCATTTCTCCAGACATTCCTTGTGGAAGACATGCAGACACTTGAGTTCATGAATCTCCTGGGAGCGGAGGACAGGTTCGAGGCATACAACACTACAGTCGGCTGTCAGAAGAGATCTGAGATAAACGGGATGATGCTCAGAAGCATACCAGACAAAGTGGCTATCCGCCGATTCTGGCAGATTCATTGAATCCCTCACGCTCGGCCACCATTGATCCAGGGTTCGGGTGGGCGAAACAGCATCGAGCCTTTTTAGCCTTTCTGATGAAGAATCCTTTCCTCTTGAACTGGATCCAGGGTCTGCTGGATCGCGTCGGTTCAGATAGATGGCCAACCTGTGTATGCGAGTCAGTTCAGCCTGCATGGGCCGACGACGACGGAAATGTTAACTGACAGCAAACATGATATAAAAGCAACCGAAATTCCCAGCACCACACCTAGTAACACCGTCAGGGACTCATTGTTGTTGGCTCGTTTGGCCATCATTCGGCTCGACCATGTCTCCATGGACAAAGGAACACGGAGAGGGGGGAGGGGAAAGGGTATCATTGTGGGAGTCGAGGGAAATGCGGAAATTGCGGGTATGCAGTCAAGAAATAATTGTAGAATTGTGACACTGTCTCACCCAGGTCGGTGCGGTACTGAGAGCTCTGCCGAAAGCTCTACCTCTGCCAGCCTTGAGCACTGTACAACCTGACCCTCACGCAGTGTAACTCAGTCGGCTGGTCGACGAAGGAAGCCGTCCTGGTTCATGGTCCGTTGCAATTTCCCACATGAAGCTTCGATATGAAATTTTGGGGCACGCCTGGCAATTAAAGCACCTTTTATGCTTGTCGAGGTTGGCGCGCCGGCCCCTCGACTGCGCAGTGCTGATCCCGTGGACCGATGAGCGACACGGGAGCGATACAAAACACCCAGGATTCTTCTTGGGTGATCTGCTCTAAACTTTCTGGTGGCCACTTTGTTGGTTAGTTTCTCTGGGCAAACAGGTCGTTGGGGTCAGGCCATGCCATGTCATTATGTCATGCCACAAACGCGGTCGACAGGCGGAACTAGTGCGAGCCGGGCCCGTCAAGTCGATCACTTAGATCACGGGGGAATCAGATGTCGAAATTCTTGAGCACAAAGCTAAAGGCACCTAACAACGTGAGCTGTGGACGCCGAGTCGCTCCAGAGCCAGCCACAAGAGCCGATGACGAATGGAGCAAGCTGTTGCGCCAATGACGCTGGTTTGGGATGGGGATTTACGGTCACACCGGGTGAGCTACTTGCGCCAACCGTGGGACAGTAAATCATGTCGAACGGCAGACAGCTAGGGCACTACTAGATAAGAATAGATGCCTGCAGGTCATTTGGTCACCAGGCCTGTGCACTGTGCTCACGTCGATCCGTACCACCGAGGTTACTGAGCTTGGGCTTTGGAATTGCAAGCCAGCATCTGCGAACAATGTCGACGTCCATTGTATTTATATTAAGCATTAATATTAATATTAAGTATTAATAATGAATATTACCATTTTCTCCAGAGAGGATGAACAGCTGGTTAACGGTGGCATTGGCAATAGAGCTGGCCGACACCAGGCCAGCTAAATCGCGCACTTGCAGCAGCTCGACTTTAGGCCTGCCAGCCGCCCCTCCCCCGCGCCAAGACCGCGACCGACGTCATTGCCAGCTCGACCAGATTATCACGTGGTCCGTCTAGTTCGGCAGTCGAGCTGGCCCACAGCCTGTATTCCATCCTGATCATCGCATCTACAGTCCTTCGACTGTAGACATCTCCCACGGCGTGGAGAATATGTTCATGCAGTACAAATCGACCATTTAAGAGCAACAATCTCCCTGAAAGCATTGGAATTAGTTGGTTGGATCATGGCCTGGAACCAGTTCTCACCTGCCGGCTTACATAATCATTCCGCAATGGATGGTTCTCTGGGACCCGGGGAGGATTATTTTTTGAACAAGGCTGAACTCCCAGGTCCCAGTTGGATAGTCTGAACGTTAACTTTTGTCAGTTTACAGACTAAGAATGCTTGTTCGCATCCGTTTCACTCTCAAGTTCCAAGCCCAGCGATGGCATCACCCGCCCACGCCTCTCCCCTGATCAGCGAGGCGGATCGGCGACGGCGAAGACGGCCCCAGCTCTCCTGCGTTCTGTGCAGACGGCGAAAAGTGAAATGCAACCGAGAACTGCCCTGTGATCAATGCTACAAGCTGTCCAAGGGTCGGAGTTGCGTCTACAACGACATCATCCCGTCAGCTGAAAACCCCGATCACGGTGCCTTGAGCTCGAACTCGGTCGATCCCAGCAGGAGTGCGCCGCAGAGGAGTCCGATCGAGTCGAATACAGGGCTGCGCCGTTCGGGAGAACATAATGCACAGCCAGGAGAAAATATCCTGAGAACACAGGGGGACAGTCGGCTTGGAGATGGCCATCCTGTATCGAGCTATGCCTCTTCTACACTGGCCAGTCCTGGAGTCAGTCGGACTGCCAGTACTCAGGAAGCCGTCTCGTCCTCAGACCAGCCATTTCGACAGTCCAGTTCGATTACTACCCACGGCGAGTCTGAGCTTGATGAGACACACAGAGACAGCTTCAACGATCAGCCAAGTCTGAATTTCATCGAGGACGGCTGGACGACGGAGTTTCACGGAGAAAGTCATTGGTCGACAATTTTCCAAATGGTATGATTAGGAATATAATCAATTTCTACATACATATGTAGCGTTGCTAATCTTCAGTAGCTCCCGAATGTGAGGCTGCTGATTCACAATCTCACCGTTTCTACAGACGATGGATCTCGTGCCTCATTCTGGAAGTACCTGACAGAATTCCGTGAGAAAAGAATGATGCAACTGAACTCAGACATCATCAACCTCGGCTTGGTAGCCCACGCCAGCTTGAGGGAGGAACTGGCTCCCCATGAAGTCTGTGACAGGCTGGTGGCGAGCTACCACGAGTCGTTTGGGAAACTCTACGAAGTTGTGCCTTGGCGCGATTTCATGAGAGATTACAATAGTTTATGGCTGGGCATAGAACCATACCGATGCGAATTTGCCGTTATATTGATTCTCGTCCTGACTATCGGGAATGCCTTTTTGAGCGACCAAGAGAACCGGCTGCCGCACTCGATGGTTCTCAAATGGTTCAGCATGGCCAAGGTCTGGAGGAACACCACCGCGGATATCAACAAGTACAACCTCACTTCGCTGCAGGTGGATATCCTTCTATATCTGGCTCGCAGGTTGTATTGCATTGGCCCGCCTCACGACTCCGTGGGCTCTGCGGTTTTGGTACGAAATGCAATGGCAATGAGTCTCCACAAGGATTCCTCCCACCTTGTTGACATGTCAGTCGAAGAGCGTTTGTTGCGACGGCGCCTGTGGTACACTGTCCTCGAGCTCGATGTACAGTCGTCACTCGAGTCGGGAATGCAGCCAACCTGTCCTGAAGCCGACTCCTGGATGGGAGCGAGACTGGAACAGGAAGGGACCTCGATATCGGAACAATCTTTTCTCGTCCGTTCTCTCCCTATACGACTCAAGATCGCGCAATTACTCAACCGATCTCGGTTTGATTTGACATATGACGTGGCCTGCGAGCTCAACGACGAGCTCATGGCAGCGGTGGGATGGTCGTTATCAGAACGTCCCACCGATCCATATGCTACAGGAGACAACTTTGTGGGGGAGTATACGAGGCTCTTGGTCCGTCGAGCCCTGCTAGCGCTCCACTGGCCGTTTGCCATCCGCAATGACCACCGATTCTACTTTTCGCGGAATGCGTGTCTCGTCACGGCGCTCAAGATCCTTCAACAGCTCATTCCAGAAGGATCGCACGACGCCGGATTACAACATCTAATCCGTGGGGAGTGCTCCATTTATCAGAACGATGCGTTCCCAGCAGCGCTATTCCTGTGTTTTGAGCTCCTTCGCGGGATTTCCAAGCCGGATAGTGGGCATGTCCTGGAGCAGGTTTCTTCTCTCCAACACGAGGCCATGGATCTGCTGAACCGGTTTATCGCTCTCGCTGAGCAAAGAGTCATGGGTAGCGACTACTCGGAGGTGGCGTTCGTCATAGTGTCCGTCATGCATGCCTACGTCTGCTGGGTGGATGGCGGAGCATCTGACACGAGTGGAGGGGGGTTACAGGAGATGGCAGATGGAATTGCACAGCGGTGTATGTCGTTGATGCAGTCGCGATCCTACATGTAGTCATACAGTACATGCATCTATGGGCGAGATCAATTATATTAATAATAACGATATTCCATCGAGATAAAATCAACGGACCTTGCGATCTAGTTGAGTAGTTAGCAATCAATTAGCACCGAATTGAATTACACTATCCACAGCTTTAATTAATAAGGGTCATCATGCAGCGATATATCCGATCGGACATTAATAATACGAGGCAAGCCCTCGGCCATAGCGGGAGATAACGGTCCTCGGAGGACCCACGTGCAGCACAACACCGATAAAGCCTGTTAAAGCCTGTTACAGCCGATCGATCGATATAGCTTAATCACCTGGATGGATTGTAACGTAATCTATAACCTAGTCGGACAAATGACCTAGTCGGACACTTCTCACCACGCTTACGCGCCTCCACTCCCATCAACAAAAATGCCTACCTCAAGACTCCCACAAGCTTCCAATCAGGAAGGAAAGATTCTTTTGGCTCTTCAAGCATATAAGAAGGGCCAAGTCTCAAGTCTGCGAAAAGCTTCTGTGTTATATGATGTTCCCCATTCCACATTACACGATCGATTGAAAGGCCGTACGACGCGAGAGCATGCGCAGGAAAGGAATCGAAAACTGTCTGTTACTGAAGAAATAACTCTTACCCAGTGGATACTATCCATGGATGAGCGAGGAAAGCCCCCCCGAGTTGCAACCGTACGAGA